TGCTGAGCGTCTTGTGAGCCCGCACGGGTAGGTAGCTCCACCCTATCCATTTGTGCAGCGAAGCACTAATACCTTCCAGTTTGAAGGATGTGGCAGCCGTTATGTCGGCATTAAGTGGTGATATTTATGTGCTCCAGTAACAGATTAATTAACAGCATGTGAGCGTCTTTCACTCGTCAATGAATAAAAAAAAATACATGTGTGCAATTCACACGTGGTAGAAGTGAAACCTTCCAAAATTAAAATACAATTATCCTAAAGGTCTTAAGTATATGTAAAATTTTGTCATTAGTAAATAATTGTAAGGTAGCGCCTCTGTGAATTGATATTTTAATTTCACGTATAACCCTAAATTAAAATTCACTACAAGAGCTTTCATACACACGTTAGTATTAAAAAATCTCACAGATGGCGCTGTATTAAATAGTATGTATATTTCTGTCTCATTCTTTGCTGGCTTCATCCTACACATTTTTGTATTTGTGTCTCTTACCTATCGTTTTTTCCGTTGCATCCGGTTTGAAATCACAACGATTCTAAAGAAGTTTTCACTTCAAAAANGTAATTAAAAAGGTGCCTTATAATACTTGTCAGATCACAAACAAAAAAGTATTGAATTATTAAATAGCTTAGATACAAGATTATACTTTCGATTTCTCACATACTCTAGGTTCCAAGGAAGTAATCGACTTATTTAATATATAAATAGTCCGAGTGAAATTATGCACACACGGTCATCTGGCTTCAAACTAAGATTTTTTTTTTTTTTTTATGATTGAAAGTTTACTGGTGGCCCGAAGGCCTTTCCAGTTTCACCAGGACAGGTGGGCGAGCAAAGGCTCAGCCAAGAGGGGCGGGATTTGCTAACAACTGCCCGAGCGCCTCCGAAGGAGACCTAACAACTCAAGAGCAATTGTTTCGCGAATGAATCTACTACCGGATCGGAATCGCGACCCGCTGAGAAGATCCGGCGAGAAACTCAGCGGGCTGATGCATGGGTTAGGTTGCACGTCGACCTCTTTGTCGAGTTCGACGAGTACGGTTACCGGGGTCCCTAAGCCTGCCCCTAGTATTAGAGCTGAAGGCATCTAATGCAAAGGTTATTGGATCTGATGGATCCGTAAGGACGTGTCTAGGGCGTCGACGGTGACTGGCTCCTGCATGATCAGGATTCGGGGAGTAGTCAGCGGCGGCAACGATAAGGCGATTATCATGACGCATAGCCTTATCGAAGTATCGTTCCGACGCTGACTTCATGTATTTCCGAATTGATTCGAGGCCCAGGTCGTCGTGTAGGTCAACGTTCCTCACGAACCACGGAGCCCCGACAGCTAACCTGCAAAAGCGGGATTGTAGGGATTGGAGGGTGTCTATGTGTGTGCGGGCCGCGTGAGCGAACACCACACTCGCGTAAGTCATGACGGGCCTTATGCAAGTTTTGTAAAGTGTCACCTTGTTCCGAAGGGACATTTTACTCCGCTTACAGATCATGGGGTAGAGTCTACCGAGAATAAACGCGGCACGGTCACGGACTGATTTTATATGCGGGCGGAATGTCATCGATGCATCCAGGGTAACGCCCAGGTACTTGACCTTCCTGGCCCAGGGTATGGGTTGTCTAAAGAGAGTAATCGGGGGTGTGAGATTCCTCCTCCTAATCCGGGAGGAAATCCGTGTGGAGCTTCCCCTCTGAAATAGCACCGCAGTACTTTTCGCTGGGTTGATGTCTATGCGCCATTTTCGGAACCACTGTCCTAGGGCTAGGGCTGCGCTCTGAAGCTTCTTCGCGATTAGGGACTTATTTCTACTAGAATAGTAAACAGTCGTGTCGTCGGCGAATAAAGCTAAATGGGTCGGCGGCGACCGGGGAATATCGTTGACGAATAAGCTAAATAGGAGGGGTGAGAGGACAGAGCCTTGCGGGACTCCAGCTGTGAGAGGTCGTGGGGAGGAGCGGGTTCCCTCGACTCGATATCGAAAAGAGCGGTTCGACAAGAAGTCCCGTATGATGAGCACGAGACTATCCGGCACGCCCATGTTGAATAGTTTGAAAATCAAACCATTGTGCCAGACTTTGTCGAACGCTTTTGCGACGTCGAAGAAGAGAGCTCCCGTGTATAACGGTTTTGGTCGATTAAGCCCCACAAGAATGTGCTCCGTGAGGCGGTGCACCTGTTGAACGCATGAGTGATTTGTACGGAATCCGAATTGTTCATCGATGAGAAACTAAGATTTTGTTATGTAGTAGGTACTATGGGAAACAAAAACTTAAATTACTCACTCACATGTATTTCTAATTCTTCAAATGTGTCACTAAGCATTGTCATTCCGTATAATTCGTTAAAAAAAAGATAATATTATATTTTACTTATAGTGTTAAATTCTAGTTCTCTTTCGTCAATTTCATCATTTTTCAGATACATATCTACTCAGTGAGAAATTAAAAGAACAATGTATTTTGCTTATGGTATAACCAATTTATTTTAAAGTAAATGCAATATGTAGTAAAGACTAACAAATCTGTGTGCTGTCATTTGAGGCAATCGCATCATCATCACCGTGCATTTCTTAACACTAGTGGCGTCCAGTGTTCGGAACTCGACCATATTCACTAAAATATCGAGATTGCGGTTTGTTTTATGTATTTTCTCTTTTATTTTTTACATATTGAATTGTAAAAAACTAAATAAAACAAAATCTAATTCCAAGCTAAGATAAAGGTAATCAATTGCTATTAAACAAAACAAAAAAAATCGCTTGCCGAGAAGACGAAACGAACGATTGAAAGACGACATTTCTCGTCTTTCAATCGTTTCAATTGTTTTTACTTTATGTCACGTTGTTTGTACCCGATGACCTTTTGGAATAACGAGCCGTTTTTAATGAAACTTCGCAAGCTGCGTGTAGCTTAGACCGACTTGAGAGATAATCGAAATCAATTAATATAATAATGTGATAAAGGGTTTTTTATTATCTTTGCAATTTACAAGTTTATAACAAATGGCGGTGTATCTAATCGATGGCGCTCAGGCGCTGTATTGAAATTCCAAAGGTTTCATTTATGCCACAGTTTGGTTATACATATATAATTAAATAAAGGGTAATGTTTGTCCTCTTTGCGTTACTGAACTGATCATTTCGACCGTTGATCCGATTGTGATCAAACAGTTCTAGTTGTCACATCGTATTTATAGATTCTTTACTGATCCTATAACGTATTTATAAACATAGCATCCTATTGACTTAGTGATATCTGGTAAGCGAGGCTTATGTCCCAATGCCCCTGTTGACTGTGCTATGGCATATTACTGGTGTCTATGAGGGCGTTGACCAATTTCCATTAGGAGTAGTATTCGCGTCTGGATACGATGCCAATAAATATTACTTAATAATAATGAATTTTCAATTTCGTTATTAAGCTCATAAATTGTCATTGTCAATTGTCAGGTCATAAATTGTAACTATACCTGAGACCTTAGAACTTATGTCTCAAGGTGGGTGGCGCATTTACGTTGTAGATGTCTATGGGCTCCAGTAACCACTTAACACCAGGTGGCTGTGAGCTCGTCCGCCCATCTAAGCAATAAAAAAAAAACTTGTACATAAAATCAAGGTCTTCTCTGCTGAGCGTCTTGTGAGCCCGCACGGGTAGGTAACTCCACCCTACCCATTTGTGCAGCGAAGCACTAATACCTTCCAGTTTGAAGGATGTGGCAGCCGTTATGTCGGCATTAAGTGGTGATATTTATGTGCTCCAGTAACAGATTAATTAACAGCATGTGAGCGTCTTTCACTCGTCAATGAATAAAAAAGGAACAATTACAAAGACTTTATAAACTTCAAAAGGCTTCTGAGCGGTCGCCCTCCGAGTCTAAGGGCACTCAGGGCTGAGGTTCAACTTTCAAAATTTATGCGCGAATGTATGCATGTAGCTAAAGCGATCTGTAACGAAGCCAGCATCCCTTGTTTATGAGGAAAGATAAGGCTCAGCTATCGGAGTGTCGGTTTACCTCACCAATTCGGGCCTCTACACGGTTGTAAATTTTTTGTTGGTTTTTTTACGATTTACTGCGTTGTAAATTCTGAACGAACTTGGACAGTAAAAGGCGAGGTGGAGTGAATTTTTCTTTCAGTAATACATTTCTGCAGTCCTAAAGCATAGTTCAGTCATCTATATATTAATACGTGAAGCAAAAACTTTGTATCCCTTTTTACGAAAATTGCGCGGACGGAGGATTATGAAATTTTCCACACTTAAATATTTTTTTTAAATAATGCATTAAAGATACATTAAATCAATAAAGAAAATATTACACACACTACATACCATGTGTTTGACGCACACACGCGTGCATACTATTTATTGTCAAACTTTTGTTCTTGACGTCTGTGGTCAAATTGAGAATAGATTAAATATTGTTTGTCTTTATTAACATTTTTTTATAGTGTAGTTAAAGAAGTATAAAATACAATCATAATAGTGTACAAACTTACAATTCCAATTAATTATAGTCGAATTTCGACTACTGCGGGACCTCTAGTACGTTATAAAATTACGTCATTTGAAAATGTGATTTTCTAACATGAAAACTGTTCTTTAAGATGTTTGAAATTTATGTCTGTTTACTGGTGGTAGGACCTCTTGTGAGTCCGCGCGGGTAGGTACCACCACCCCGCCAAATTCTGCCGTGAAGCAATAATGCGTTTCGGTTTGAGGGGTGGGGTAGCCGTTGTAACTATACTGAGACCTTAGAAATTATATCTCAAGGTGGGTGGTACATTTACGTTGTAGATGTCTATGGGCTCCAGTAAATATTTAACAACACGTGGGCTGTTAGCTCGTCCACTCATTATGCAATAAAAAAAACTGTCAAATTTGAAACTAATAGTTGGTTACTTAAATTCAAGCAAAATTTTGTCATTCGAACGTCGAAGACTTCTCGCTGGCGAACACAAGCCGGGTAGTTTTATTTCACTAACTCACCTAGTTATATTTTCAGTAACACGATGCTCGTTAGTGAGGAAAACGGGCAATGTGCTCCCGTTCAAACGAAAACGCTTAAAACGTTCTTCAGGTGAGCTTGTTGTTGTTATTATGGGAACATTTAGGTTTTTTGGAACGAAGTTCTTTATGGGACGATGCGTAGGGATACCCTAACCGGGAAAAAACGTCCGTAACGTAAGATTTTTATTAGTAATGCGCACAGTGTACGACTTAACTTTGTAATAACGTACAAAACATAACATAGTATTTTTATTATATATTTTTTATAAATCATTGTGAATAAAATAAAGTTGATAATTTTGTAAAGTATTTTTTTTTTATCAATAAAAAAACCATAAAAAAATGTAAAGCCGAATTATTATTTTCTTTATACCTCGAATAGAACTTACAATTAATATTGTTATAATAAAGAACTTCGTTCCTATCCGGTGTCCCACGATACCACACATCTTTTTTTGTAGAGTTTTTTCTTAGTTGAATGATTTATGCAGATTCTCGTCCCGAGCTGGTGTATACGTTTATTGAGCAAGCGGTACAGCCTGGAGCGCAGGTGGCTTTAAAATGCTCGGCAGTAGGCGAGCCTCCCCCAAGGTTCAAGTGGACAGTGGACGGTCAGGCGATACCATCACATCACGGGTGAGTATACAAGAAAAAAATAATTTTTTTTTACTAGTGCAAGATCGCAATTCCACTTTTTCCGAAATAGTTTTTGTAATTTTTTATATATAGAGAACGGTAAAATATTATATAATAATATTTTTGAAAACTACAACGGCAGTTTTTTGCATTTCCTTGAACTTAACACGAGTGTCCTTGTTTAGGGCCAAAACAAACGATCAGTTGATCATAGACCTTACACTAAATTAGTCACATAGTAATGTCATCACATAGTAATTTCAATAACATTTTAAAACTTCTCTTTCATACTTCTATCACATCCAAATTGTGGGGCATATGCACTTATAACTAGCACTAAATTTCACTAGCATCAGCCTATCATTCATTCGTCTTACATCCGGCACGCATTTTTTCAACTAACTATCTAGTACAATCCCAACTCCTTAACTCTAAAATTGGTCGATTTTGAGTGATGTTCAATAAAATATAATAAATAACATATAAATCATTAACGACACTAATAAACATACGATATCGATTATTGAACTACTAGATGATGTCCGAGCCTTGCTCGGTTTTTTTTGATAACGCTATCTTGTGTCTTTAAAGCGGTTAGTTGCCCTCAATTAAGAAAAATAGTATTATTATTCGCCAATAGATGTCGGGAAGAGTTGATTATTGAAAACACGAATAAAACAACATTTTCTGAAAATAAATCGTAGCTAGATCGATTTATCGCCCCCGAAATCCCCTGTATACTAAATTTTATGAAAATCGTTGTTGGAGCCGTTTCCGAGGTTCAGATGATATATATATATATATACAAGAATTGCTCGTTTAAAGGTATAAGATAACTATTATCCACTATTTATTTATTCAAAATATTCGGAACTATGAAGTGTGTCGAAAATTTTGACCGCCCTAGGTCATGTGGTTATATTCGCTATATACCAATTTACTTTTACTAATCATTTCAGTGAGACGTATTTAGCTTGGGATATATTTTGCAGAATACAAGGTGGTATTCACGTTCAATATCTTTGATAATCACTTAATATCGGCTGAAGAGGGTCATGTAAAAGAATAACGTATAGATAACTAGCTCATTGGATATTGTATTGTTTTTGTATAGAGCGTCCATAACTGAAGGCAGAGAATCTGGGCCGTCTAGTTTAGGTCCCAGTAACAACTACGTGCTGTCCACTTTGTCTCTGAGCAGTGCCAGGGTTGAGCACGGCGGGAGATACGAATGCCGTGCCACCAATAATCACGGAAGTGTCGCTCACGCAGCAAGATTGAATGTTTACGGTAAGAACTAGTTAACTAACTATTTAATTTCTTTATCCAATTCTTTATAGAATTATTTGTCTACTAGAATTTTTGGAAAATGAATTTTGTATAGGTACTCTTTTGTATTTATTTACTAGCTTTTGCTCGCGACTCCATCCGCGCGAAATAGTTACTTTGGCTTAGCGCTAAATTTTATCCCCACTTCATTTACGTAGAAAGTGAACATATTTTTGAATTATAGAATATTAAGAACTATTTAAACCCCTATTTTGAAACATTCTTTATTATATTATATATAATATATATTCCTCAATAAATGGGCTATCTAACCCTAAAATAATTTTTCAAATCGGACCAGTAAGTAGTTCCTGAGATTAGCGCGTTTAAACAAAACTCTTCAGCTTTATAATATTAATATAATTTTTTTATTGCTTAGATGCTCACGGCCCACCTGATATTAAGCGGTTACCGGAGCCCATAGACATTAACAAAGTAAATGCCGCCACCCACCTTGAGATACCACCACCCTGCCTATTTCTGCCGTGAAGCAGTAATGCGTTTCGGTTTGAAGGGTGCGGCAACCGTTGAAACTATACTGAGACCTTAGAACTTATATCTCAAGGTGGGTGGCGCATTTACGTTGTAGATGTCAATGGGCTCCAATAACTACTTAACACCAGGGGGGCTGTGAGCTCGTCCACCAATCTAAGCAATAAAAAAAGACGCCAATGGGAACAGAAAATTAACAGTATTGGATTTGTTTTTATAACACACTTAAAGCGCGCGAGCGATCATTAATCTGCAATGGTACTCGAAGGTTACAGCTACCTTCATTTCCTAGAAACTGCAGAACTCACACATATTTCTTCGTTACGTCAAGATATAAGTAGCCAAAGACAAAACAGCTTAGCACTTTCATCTTCTTTTTGTTAACCTTTTTTTTGTTTACTAACAACTATCGGTGAACTATAGTGTTGTCGATGAAAATTTTAAAAATATTTTCTTTCCACCTTTTCGTCAAAAAATGGCAATTAACAAAACGAAAGCGAACATTTAATATATATGTATAAAAATTGAGTACCTACTTTGACAATTTTATTTTCATAATGAAAGTAATGAGAAACACTAGTATTTCGTAACGACCAAAAATGATTAAGTATTTCATTTCCCCATCACCACATTTTTACTGGTGGTAGGACCTTTTGTGAGTCCGCACGGGTAGGTACCATAGGCATAGGCAGGGCGGTGGTACCTATCCGTGCGGACTCACAAGAGGTCCTACCACCAGTAAAAAAGCCTTATAGTGTGTAATGGACAGACAACAAACCATCCGAGCATCTATCCTACTTGAGTAATTCGTTTAAGTTTGAAAAATGGGACAGCCGTTTTGCAGAACAGTTGAGACTTCAACGTCATGTTTCAAAGTATATCGACTGAACAAAACGAAATTGTTGTAACTGAAAAAGCCAACTTTACACCAGAGATATTTATAAAATTCTTCCAAAAAATGAATTTTTACTCATATTATATCTACAGGATGATGACCGAGCTTTGCTCGGTTTTTTTTTGATAACGCCATCTTTTTGTGTCTTTAAAGCGGTTAGTTGCCCTCAATTAAGAAAAATAGTATTATTATTCGCCAATAGATGTCGGGAAGAGTTGATTATTGAAAACACGAATAAAACAACATTTTCTGAAAATAAATCGTAGCTAGATCGATTTATCGCCCCCAAAATCTACTAAATTTTATATATTCTTTTGGAGCCGTTTCCGAGATTCAGATTATATATAATAATATATTAATATACAAGAATTGCTCGTTTAAAGGTATAAGATAAGATAGAGATAGAAAGTTGAAAATTAGTATAGTGTGGTATCTAAAGCCTGTGTGTGTATATAGTGGTATCTGATTAACTATATTAATTTAAATACATCGATTTATCGCTTTGGTGTCCAGTTGGGTTTTTCAAGATACGACATTTTCGCTTTCTTCCGTCGATATGATGGCATTGATTTTCGTGTTGTTATGCCTATAGGCATAATGCCAGGCGGATCGAGTTCTCGATTTAAGAAAATAAATAAAATTTGAGCAACAACATTGTTACAGACGTTAACAATCGAATATGAAAATGTCTGTTTATCTGCGCGTCCTATCTAAATAAACATTAAGATGGGATGATTGCTTCACAAATATTGTTATGTGATTTGCATAGGTCCCCCCTACATCCGAGCTATGAATCCCGTGAAGGCCGTCGCCGGAACTGAAGTAACCATTTGGTGTCCCTATTACGGATTCCCTATAGAGTAAGTCTTTTAGTGAGGATTCATTGTTTATAAAGTATCTATTTATTTCCATTTACAGAATATTTGTTTTGTCGTAATCTTATTACCATCCCAAAATTTATTGAGGTATAACTCGGTCATACTGTTCTCACTAAACAATCATGTGGCCGAAGTAATTATTTATTTAAAACTAGCTGAGTACCGCGATGCTACCCGCGGTTATTATCGTAACGCGGGCGACTCCGCGGAGCTAAGCTAGTCTAAAAAAAGTAGTCTAAGTTACTCCTTGTATCATCAGCTACCTATCAGTGGAGGTCCCGTCAAAATCGGCCCAGACATTCCAGAGATTAGCCGGAACAAACAGAGAGACAGACAGACAAAAATTGTAAAAAATGTTATTTTACGGTGTATATATTATTCATATGCATTTAATAAAAAGTGGTTGTTTCAATATTACATACAGACACTCCAATTTTATTTATATGTATAGATATAAAAAAATATTTCCATATTTTTTTAAGTTTGGCGTGATAGTAATATTTTCTACGTCGATATCTATTTCATTCAACAACTTAGATGAGATGAGAAGTTTTCTTCGAGTCCATAAAAAAATCACTAAGAACGCACAACCTACAAAATACATGAAATGTTTATATTAGCAAACCAGGCACGAAGTCATTCGACGCTCCCTGGCTATTCAGATTAGTATAATGATTATCCATAGAATATGTGGCAGCTGCTGTATAGTTTCGGGTCTTGGACATTAAAGAAAATTAACTACACAGTATTTGCCTTTTGAATTCAAATGATTCTATGAAAATTAATCAATTTTATTTGAAGTTCAGTGAAATGGGAGGGAGGCGCCGGCATAGATCCACGGTACCAGCAGTCAGATGGCCAGTTGACGATAACAAACGTTGATTGGAATAGAGATAAAGGAAGCTGGGTTTGTTCAGTTCTTACTCCTGGTGGAGAGCTGGCTAAGCGGGAGGTAAATAAGTTTAAATGAAATTAGGGTATTTCAAGTTTGAAAAAAAATTAGGCACGCTATGGTTTTCTGTTTCTAGGTACAAATAACAGTGGTATCGCCGCCGGTATTATCGCCAATTGTGTTTCCGCCGGGACTTAGATCGGGAGATAGAGCTCAACTAACTTGCACGGTTACATCTGGAGATATGCCCGTTTATTTTTCCTGGTTAAAAGATCAAATCCCAATTTCAAGTGCACTTCAGGTAAATCTCGAAAACCAACCTGAAGTTCCGGAAGGACATCAGCGATCTCTTTTAAATAATTCGGCAATAATTATTGTAGGTAGATGAAAGAGGAGCAGAATTTTTCAGTATGCTCCTATTCAAGAGTTTGACTGCTGCACACAGTGGTACTTACACTTGTGTAGTCACGAATACAGCTGGAAAAGCTAATGTCTCTGTGGAATTAGCTATCAAAGGTATTGTGGATTTTATGTATTTTTTAAAAATAGGGCTATAGATAGGGGATTATTATCTTTTTTAATTCCGTGTTTTTTTTTTCACCAGTTCCCCCGTATTGGCAAATTGAACCTTCAGATGCTGCAGTGCTATTAAATGGATCGCTGACCGTTAGTTGTGAAGCACGTGGCCATCCTCCTCCAAATATATACTGGACTAAATTTTCGGGTAAATTTAAAATTTCAAACCAAAATGATTCTTATGTTTGATATGAGCTTTAATTTTATTTATGAATTTTAGGTAGTACCGAAACTTCATTAGGTGGAGTATCGGATCCCGTCGTTTTGACAAATGGATCTTTGAGATTAGAATCAGCGCGAGCGGAACATTCTGGAAAGTACCGTTGCAGGGCTGACAATGGTGTCGCTCCGCCTTTATCTAAAACTCTTAATATACATGTTAATGGTAAGTATGTTAACGTCTAAGGTGATTCTAATTTGTTTATTTCAAAACTTAAACGCCATTTTCATTATAGAACCAGCAAGATTTGAAATTCAATCAATCAACGTTACGGCGAAGCTTGGTGAGACAGTGAGGTTAGCATGCGTAGCTCGTGGAGATAGCCCCCTCTCTACGGCGTGGAGTCATTCTGGAAGAGCTCTGCCGAACTCAGATTACAGGTAGTAGAAAAAAATTACGTCTGATTTGTTTTATAATGATGATATTGTAATTAAGCTTTACAACTACATACTCGTATAACCAAATTTTTCAAATTAATTTTAACTTTTTCAGAATGAGTATTTCAGAAACAAGGAGCACTGAGGGATTGAGAAGTGAATTAGTCATAGAGAGAGCTGATCGTAGAGATTCTGGAGTGTATCGATGCCAAGCTTCTAATCCTTTCGGTAGATCGGACCATTTTGTGCATCTTGCCGTTCAAGGTAATTTATGATTTCAGCTTTGTGTATTAAAAATTTAACTACAACTGATTTCATTCAAAAAATTACCAGAACCACCAGAACCGCCATCTAATTTTCGAGTTTTGGATACAACTTCACGCTCTGTTCGGTTGCAATGGAGAAGACCGTACGATGGAAATTCTCCAGTTTTGGGCTACGTCGTTCAGTATAGAAAACATGATTCCACAAGTTCGGATCTGTGGAGAGATGCCGAGACCCATAATGTTACAGTATCTGTGCAAAGCGGTAATTCCTACTCTGAGTAAGTATGGCCTCGAAATGGGATGGCTAATATAAAGTAAATTATTGGATAATTATAATTAATTTGATTTAAAATTTGTATTTAGGACCGAAAGCGCGACGATAAATGGGTTGGAACCAGCTACACCTTATTTGGTTAGAGCGCGTACTGTTACAGCGCAGTTTGCTTCAGCACATACGCGCGCCTTACTTGCATTGACTTTACATGAGCCTCCATCACGGACTCCGATTAATTTGCGTGCGTCTACTCCTAGACCTTCTACTATTGAATTAAGTTGGCAGGTACCAGAAACATTATACAAAACTGATGGTATTTCTTTCTACATTTCGAATGGGATATATGGATGATTATTTATTTTAAGGCGCCACCTGCTTCTTCGTGGAATGGAGAATTATTAGGATACACCGTGTGGTGGTGGGCATCAGCTGATGGCTCATTATCAGGTGGTGCTGTGGGCATGGAGTTTGCCACTGTTCGAGGACAGGTTACAAAATATATTATAGAGGGTCTTGAGCACTATACACGGTTTGTTTTATAATATTGATTCATATCTTTTATTATTATATATTTTGTTTTCCCAGGCATTCACAGATATTAATTTTGCAGGTATTCTGTTAGTGTACGAGCTTTTAATAGCGCTGGAGCCGGTCCAGCATCGGCGCCAGTTAATACTCTAACGCAAGAAAACGGTAAGATTAAATTTTACTTCCTGAATCGTGCTATGGTATAATTGAAGAAATTCGAATATGCGACATTTGAATGGCCATTAAACCACAAATATGACCTGGCATAGAGTACTATCAGCTAGATATCTCTTCGAGAAAGCGGCGCTGCACGATAGCTCTCTAATCGTGGCCACCTGGAAATACATTTTCGACCCAGGTCATGTAGCAACGTAAAGTCGTCTTAAACAGTCACTGGATCTACGAAGGCACTTCGGTTTCTCTATTTCTTGTACTGTATGGGGAGTGTTCTGAGTAATTGTTTGAGATGATCCCTACATTTCTTTTTACAATCGCACTACTCACCATTCAATTCATTCGGAGTACAGCGATACTTTCGGGAACCGTTGCGTTTGTTTCCAAAGAGCTCTTTTTGCCACGTACCATCTGATTTTGATATGAACTACCCTCTATGGTGTTTCCCTAGCCGTGTGTCATGACATGTCCATTCAAACAAACATACACAACATATACATACATTCAAATACGGTGGTATAGTTTAGTAAAATTACCCTTAAATTTCTGTTGTTCCTAGTTTCTAGTTGGAATTGTACGTCACAAGCGCTAGAAAATCTATATTACAAAATTCAGCTATACAAGCTGAGGTTACCATTAATCGCAGCTTGCAACTTGCTTTATGCAGAAACCAATGAGATATTTATAAGTTTGGTGTAAATAAACAATCCCGTCCTTGTATTCAAATATGGATAAAAGTATTTAAATGCTTTCTGTATTTCAAGAGATATTTTAATCTTTGCCAATATGCAATAGCCTATCTATATATTAATACGTGAAGGAAGAACTTTGTATCCCTTTTTACGAAAATTGCGCGGACGGAGTAATCTGAAATTTCCCACACTTATAGAAAATATAGAAAAGGAGTGTAGAATGTTAATATTTTTTTAAATTATGCCTAAAAATACATTAAATCAATAAAAAAAACATTACACACACTACCATGTTTTCGACGCACACACGCATGCATACTATGCATTATTTATTGTCAAACTTTTGTTTTTGACGTCTGTGGTCAAATTGAGAATAGATTAAATATTGTTTGTCTTTATTAATATTCTTCTATAGTGTAGTCTTGGCGAAATTTGTGATTAGGTATAGACGTATAACTAGAATCATAATAGTGTACAAACTTACAATTTCAATCAATTATAGTCGAATTTCGACTACTGCGGGGCCACTAGTTGATATAATTGTATGATAACAATGCTCTTAAAGATTTGCGTGTCGGAGCTGAGACGATTTTTTTTCTCTCTCTAGTACCATCCGAAGGTCCCCGTGGCGTCAGATGTCGTGCAGTTTCACCACAAAGTTTGAAAGTTGAATGGTCCCCTCCTCCTGCCCATTCACACAATGGTGGTTTGATCGGCTATAAATTAATTTATCGGCCAGAGCATAGTGAGTAATTTTCCTTTTTTTTTATTGCTTAGATGGTTGGACGAGCTCACAGCCCACCTGGTGTTAAGCGGTTACTGGAGCCCATAGACATCTACAACGTAAATGTGCCACCCACCTTGAGATGTAAGTTCTAAGATCTCAGTATAGTTACAATGGTTGCCCTACCCTTCAAGCCGAAACGCATTACTGCTTCACGGCAGAAATAGGCAGAATGGTGGTACCTAGCCACGCAGACTCATAAGAGTTCCTACCACCAGTAAAAATTCCTTCAAAGTAGTAAAAATTTCCAGTATAAATTTCCTGATGCAATTAATTGACTTTAAAATTTTGAATATTATAATACATAAATATTTTTTTAAATCAAATCTGAGTGATGGTAGTTGTTTGTTGGCAGCGGCAGAGTGGCTTGAGTGGGAGGTGCGTGCTGGTGGGGGCTCGAACGCAGGACCGGGAGCTGAAGTCAAAAGGGTATCTGCTGTTGAAACCCTGCTATTGGCTTTGAGACCTCACACAAATTACACTATTCAAGCATTAGCTTATACTAATGTTGGAGACGGTGTTCCCGCTCACCCAGTTCATTGTAGTACCCAACAAGATAGTAAGTACAAATTATCTAATATCATAATATTTTTTTATTGCTTAGCTGGGTGGACAAGCACACGACCCACCTGGTGTTAAGCGGTTACCGAAGCCCATGGACATCTACAACGTAAACGCCGCCACCTACCTTGAGATATCTAAGGTCTCAGTAGTTACAACGGTTGCCCCACCCTTCAAATCGAAACGCATTACTGCTTCACGGCAGAAATAGGCAGGGCGGTGGTACCTACCTACCCGTGCGGACTCACAAGAGGTCCTATCACCAGTAATTACGCAAATTATAATTTTGCGGGTTTGATTTTTATTATACGATGTTATTCCTTCACCGTTGAAGTCAATCGCGAAGTTTGTTGAGTACGTGTTTCATTAGAAAAATTGGTACCCGCCTGAGATTCGATCATCGGTGTATCGCTCAACACGAATGCACCGGACGTCTTATCCTTTAGGCCACGACGACTTACTACTAATACTACTAATACTCATACCTATTATAATCTCTCGGTTTTTTTTTCACAAACTATCATTATCTTATAGCTCCTGGACCACCCGCAGCTGTAAAAGTTGTACCCACTTCAGTAACGTCATTAGCCATTAGTTGGTTACCACCTAATCGCCCTAGCGGTCCTATACTTTACTACACAGTGTTTTATAGGGAGCTTGGCAGGTAAAAATTACTCGTAAATATTTTTTAATTATTTCGCTTCCAGTTATTTTAATGATCTAGGTATTTTTTTTAGGGACAGACCCCCGCAAACTACAACTGTCCAAACGGACGATAGCGAGTTTATGGTCGGATTAGGAGGATCGACAGAACTAAGAGCTTTAGCCGAAGGAGCTACCTATGAGGCTTGGGTGGCAGCTCATTCTGTAGTAGGAGAAGGAGAGCCGTCTGCTCCGCAACCTGCAACAACGACTTCTAGAGGTAAATACTACATTTTGCTCACGATAACAGAGCTTTTCTAACGTCGTTTAAAACTTCTGAATTTTCTATGACATTACGCTAAAGCGGATTAAATTCTTGTCAATGTTTTCTGCTCAGCGGAATATACTCTTGAATTTCGATCACTCGCTCGTACTTAATTAGCCGTTCAAAATTTCACATTCTATTATTATTTTTACTGAATATTTTCTGGGAATTGAAAAAAAAAAGATGTGTGGTGGCGTGGGACACCGGACAGGAAAGAAGTTCCTTATTATAAAAATATTAATTTTAAGTTCTATTCGAGGTATAAAGAAAATAATTATTCGGGTTATTTTTTATTATGATTTTTTTATTGATAAAAAAACTACTTTATAAAATTATCAAATTTATTTTATTCACAATGATTTATAAAAAATATATAATAAAAATATGTTATTTTTGGTACGTTATTACAAAGTAAAGTCGTGCACTGTATGCATTACTAATAAAAATCTTACGTTACGGACGTTTTTTCTCGGTTAAGGTACCGCATCATCCCATAAGGAACTTCGTTCCAATACTGCAATTTTTGCTCACAGAGTTAACCAACCTCTTTTAATGCAAATTAGAATATTTAAAAAGGAATTTAGAGTTAACTGTTCATATTTGTAGCGGGAGCTAGATTGCTGTCGTTCGGAGTGTGGGTTCGAGTACAGTGTGGTCATCCATTGAGGTTAGCATGTGCTTGGCGCGGGGAACCGGCTCCAAGAGCGCGATGGTTACGAGGGGACAGGCCGGTCACACATGACCCGAGGGCTACACTCACTCCTCATGGACATCTAGCAATACATGGTGAGATTTTATTATTATTTTAAATATGGAACTATATTATTTGGTTTCGTGGACACCATATACATATATATGTACATATATGCACACACTTCATTAGTTTAATAGGATTAGTATCGTTTGAAATAAAAATGCTTTTACGTCTTGCTATGAAAATAATATTCGTAGAACATGAAATGTTTAAAGACAATATGTATGAGCTGTTATTTAATTACAATTAACGGCATTGGTGGTGTTTTCTTTAAGTTTATTTCAAAATTCCATGGTTACTTTTTGTCATTTAGCATATTCACAACGGTCTTGTTTTATTAGAACAACTTAGATATATGTATATTCATCTCTTTCCTACACTACATATGAATTCAGCGTCGGAAAGTTACATCGATAAACCAATGCGTCAGGATAATTGCCTTATTATTGCCGGCGCTGACTACTTCCCGAATCCCGATCACATTGATGCCAGTCACCGTAGACGCCCTAGACACATTCTTATGAATCCAACAGATCCAATAACTCTTGCATTAGACGCCTTCAGCTCTAACACTAGGAGCAGGCTTAGGGACCCCGGTAACAGTAGTCGTCGAAATCAGAAAAGTGTTCGATATGCAACCTAACCCATGCATCATGTGATTGTTATGCTATACGATGCCTATTTGCGAAGTAGTCTTGAATATAACGCACTCGTGTGGGATCCTCGCGAAGCAGTTCAAAAGCTAATGCTGGAAAAACTACATAAAAAATTTTGCAGGTTCCTATTCAAGAAAATGTATGGATACTATCCGTTCTTGTATCCATCACTTTATGTAACTGGTATGGTCGGATTAGATACTCTTGAGCTCAGACGGAAGATGACTCTTGTGGTGCATTATTATCAGCTATTGCATAACAAAATTGATAACTCCACTGCACTGGAATCAGCGTCGTTATATGTGCCTGATGGCTACATGCGCGGATGTATGTGTGGAGGGGTGCGTCGCCGGCGGCAGCTTCTTAGTACTACGCACGCGCGTACGCAGCACACCGCTAACTCCCCGACGCATCGTGCTGTCTCGCTACTCAATGGCTTGCTAGCCTATGCTCCGGAAATGGATATATTCCATGATGGTTTGCAGCGATTTATTGTTGTTGTTAGAAATTACTTAAGCTAATTATTAATACCTTACAAATGTTTTGATTTATACTGTTAATTTGTAAGTAGACTAATTAAATAAATAAATAAATAAATAAATCAGGCCGCTAAGTTTCTCGCCGGATCCTCTCAGCGGGTCGCGATTCCAATCCGGTAGTAGATTCATTCACAAAGCAGCTGCTCTTGAAATGTTAGGTCTCCTTTGGAGGCGTTCAGGTATCTATTAGCAAAACCCACCCCTCATGGCTGAGCCTTTACTCGCCCACCTGTCCTGTAAAACTGAAAAGACCTTCGGGCCACCAATAATCCCTCATTCATAAAAAAAATACTTTACATAAGAGAAATACGGGCGAGAGGTATTAGAACTCGGTAAGGTTGTGCTTAAGGTGTCATTAAAATTTGTTCTAACAGAAGTGGATGCTTCTACGAGCGGTAACTACACTTGCTCAGCTCGTAACACGTTCGGTTCTGAAGAGGTGACGTATCGCGTTGAATGTGCCAGTCCGCCACTACCTCCTACGCTCACATTGAACTACGTGGCGCATAAAGAGGCCAAGCTCTCCTTGAAAACAACACATCATCCATCGGCACCTCCTCACGGTAAGCGGTTTGTTTATTTCAAGTATCTGTTACAGTATAGAAGAGCGTATAAATTGACTGGTTATGAAGTACTGAAACTACCCGCGAATAGTGTCAAAAATTTTTTTATATCACAATATAACGAATTGTCAATTATAGTCGTCATGGCCTTAAAGATACGATGGTGTGTGTACTCCTATCGAGTGATGCGTCTATGCCGGCGTTCAAATCCCGCAGTCAGCCCCTTTTGTTTTTAAATGAAATACGCACTTAAGAGTAAGACACGTTCACGAATGTTAACTCATGAAAAATTTTAATTTGCGTACTTACTAAGCAATTCAGACAGTGCCTCGAGTCAAAAGGTGGGTGAGGGCAGTCAAGCTGTGATATCCATGGGCCCGGTAACCACTTAACACAGATGGGCCGTATGTTCATTTATCAATCTACGCTTTTTTTAAACAGTTCAACAAACTGGTTATTTATCACCGGATAAAGCGTAGGTCGAGGTCGCACCACTATCCTGCTTATTTTGCCGCGAGACATTCCTTTTATAGGGTGACCTAATCGTAATAGACTACGATTGGGACTTCCGCTTTACATGTCAATGGCAGCATACACATTGTGATTTTACACGGTTTCCTTTAATAACAAGACATAATACCCGATATATCGGGACTTTGACCATCAAGGGTGTTAAAAATACTTTGTTGGTTTTACATATAATACAATGTTTTCTATTCAAGTACCTAAACATTTTTTAAGATACAACTTGTCTAAAATCATTACTACCCTACTTTTCATTTTTTAAATATACATATATTGGATATTAGAATTTTTGCCCCTAAAAATTTTTTTCAATATTTTATAATTTGTCTGATTTTGTTTTTGTTACTAATATTTAAAAAATTACAGATATCATATTTAAAATAGGAAAATGTCTGTTCGTATCCAACATAAAAGAACATATATATATTTTTTAAGAACAACACGAGAGACATCTTGAATAATATAAAGATAAAACATTCGGAGTATGTGATCAATTTTAGTTATGAGTAAGCATTTGTCATCAACATTTAGAAATATTGTGGTATTTTGTGTGGATGTGTTTTGGTACGATTTATTTCAACAAAAATCGACAGTAATGAAATTCGGGCTCTCGCCATTCCGAATAACTGTTGAGATTTATGTGCATAGTGTTTTCAATTACTCATTACAACAATAGCTTAGTGGCTTTAAAACGTTAATGGCCTTCGACATAGTCAACTTCCTAGTGATTGACACCAATCAGTTGTTACAGAATTGTGGATACATTAATAAAGCCCATACAAAATACCTTGAGATTTGTGGCTACTTCGATAAATCATTAAACTTAAATAGGACCGCTGAGATTAAGGCCACAAAATAATTATTAAATGATTTTTACGTGCACATAAACGGGCATTTTCGCAAAAATAATCAAACCGCTTCATAGTGGCAGGGAGTTGAAGAAGTTAATTGGCATACCCCAACGATTTTTTTCAAAGGTTTCACGATCTGGTGGTTACGTGTGAGAGACGATTTGAACGACGGAACAGAACAGACTAATACACGAGGCGAAGAAGAAAGAAGATTAGAAACTGGCGGTGAAGTTGTTAGTGTGGTGCTAAGGGCGTTATCTTGTGGTGCTGTGTATTCAGTCCGAGCTGTGGCCCATTCTAGGGCGGGACCCTCATCGTTTTCAGCACCGCTGTTGGTGCGAACTAAACCACCAGGTAAAACGGGATAGCATTATGCAAATAAGATAAAATATAACAAATAAAAGTATTTGAAATATATTATATATTTGAAATAGTATTAATAAAAGTATTTGCAAACTTTTAAAGTGGCCATCAGCTTACTTCAAGTGTTGGACAAACGTTCCAATAATAATATTAAAAAAAATAACTTCAGACATAATATATTGTATGAGTTAGATCATAATAAAATATGTTGTACATTTATAGAATGTAGACCTATGAAATCTTCCAGAAGTAAAAAAAGAACTATTCATGTTTAAATCACTTTGACTTTATAAAAGTTTTAAAAGTCATAAGTTGTAAGATAAATATTTTATGAGACATCGGACTTTTTATCACACAAAGTTTTACAAGCGGTCTGTAAATTTCTCAGTAAAAAACAGAGACTAAGAGATGAGGTCGAGAACTATAATAACGTCTATTATATATGTATTAGTTAACATAACATGTTTAATAACATGTCTTAATAATTTAAAATTTTAATCATTTCTAAAAATAATAGCGTAGAGGATTTTTTTAAATCTTTATTTAAAATGCTTCTTTGAGTTAAGTAGTAGCCCTTTTAAATAATTAGTACTACAAATAAATTTCTAGTTTTAGTTTGGGAAGGAGGAGGGGAGCTTGACAATCCAGAGGAACTTGCTGAAGCAGCTGTTTGGAGTAATAGCAGCGCGTTAGCTGTAGATGCTCGTAGGGCTGTACGGTGCGGGGCTCGTCTAGTGAGGCTGCAGTGGAGGAGGGCTGATGCTGCAGGCTCAGCTGCTTGGAGAGACGCTGATCTCACCTCATTGCACCACCACAGGGAGGTAAGGAAGTACCCTTATGTTATCTTATAAATATTTTTTTTTTTATTTATTGCCTAGATATGTGGACGAGCTCACAGCCCACCTGGTATTAAGTGGTTACTGGAACCCATAAACATTTACAACGTACCACACACCTTGAGATATAAGTTCTAAGGTCTCAGTATAGTTACAACGGCTGCCCCACCCTTCAAACCGAAACGCATTATTGCTTCACGGCAGAAATAGGCGGGCCGGTAGTACCTACCCATGCGGACTCACAAGAGGTCCTACCACCAGTAATCTTATAAATAAGTATATTTGATAGTCAATAAGATGTAATTGAAGAAACTGGTACAGTAAAGGTTTTGGTTATACTTCTTCTTCTTACGAATCAACAAAACGATGCATTAAAGAAATGAAAAGTAATCGAAAAATCTCTAACGCGTCACTTCTATATTCAAAAATTTCGTCTTCCCTATCCCGCGAAAACAACGTCCAATTGAAACCATGCAAATTGAGACGCGCTTTCCATATAAAGTAGGTTATGATCCGCGGCAACGGCTAAAATACCTTTTTTTCTCGCAAATACCAACAAGTTTACTGTGCCTCCGAGATACGCTCAAAGGAAGTGGAAATATCTGTTGATTAAAGGTGAAAAGGCACACTGAAGCAAAATGAAACGTGCTTGCTGCCCCTATCACTTGAGAAATCAAAATCAAAATGGCAGAGATTGTATAAACTCAGAGATAAGGTTGCTAAAATAAAGGCTTGCGTTTTTGTCTAAACTCGTAAAAAGAACACGTCCAAAATGCGATTAAGAGTGTATGAAAGCTGTAGATAAAACTTAATATTATAAGCCATCTAATATTTCCTTATCGATACTTTTACGAGTAATTAATTGTTGGTATTGTCAAGTTTTACTTAACAGGTTATGTTTATTGTATTGATAAATCTTACGTATTCTTTCGGATCCGGTAGTAGATTCTGCGAAGCACTGCTCTGGGTCTAGTGTTAGCAAATTCTCTCAGATTGAGTCCGTGAGCTCACCTACCCATAAGGGCGTAGCTGAAATAGCCCCCTAAGCCACCAGCGAATAGGTAGGGAAAAAATTATGTATCCTAACATTGTTCCCTTTTACCAATATTTAATTTTGTTCGTCACTCACTGTGACATTCGTCTGGGTAGGTAGGCTTTGTAAAGGCTCTGGACAGAGATCATGAGGTTCAGATTATACATGAGTGAGCTTTTTTTTTTGGAAAGCTCAATTTGTTTTGGATCCCGCAACGAATTTAATAAGCTGATTCTTTGAAAAGTTTCGCATGGTTATCGTACCTAACGTAATTTGATATTTAATTCAAGCTTTCTCAGAAACGTCTCTGAAGTGCCGATAACTATAAAGTTTCAACTCAGTCCGAGGAAAGGCGCGTAAATGCGTAAAACAAACCTACAAGTCAAATATTCATTTGAAGAAAAAAGTTATAAGAGCCACTAACAATGGCGGTAGTGCCGATATCTGCGCTGCAAGAAACCAGTGGTTAGGGCTCCAGAGTCTTTATCTTCAAGGTGCTTGCTGTATTGTAAGTGATCGCTTTCTGCGCCAGGCCTTTAACCCCTGCATAGCAAACGCTTCTTAAGGTCAAAGATTTTCGTCATCAAACCGTGCACTGACACAGTGATAGTTAAATTATTATCCTTAGTTAACATTTTGTTGGGAATAATGTCAATAAGGTGGTGATCGGTGACCTCACCGCCGGAGCCTGGTATGGACTGCGTTTGTGGACGGCCACTGAATCTGCCAGACACCAAGCTACAATATATGCGGCTACTACTACGCATTCTGGAGGTATGATTATTTCTTCACTGATAATTTTACTAGGAAAATAATCTTAGCTCTTACGATACATTTATCTAATTTAATAATTTACATTTACTTTCCCTTAAATCCTAATTGGATGTTTTTACGGCAATTAATTCTATGTGGTATGAGTGAGGTGAGTGGTAAACTATCGCCCAAGAATATCAGCAGTACTCTAGCCCATTATCAAGGGTTTTTTTGATATAGACTTATTTATTGCGGATAGATTGACTCAATGCCCCAATCGTATTATTTGGGTTAATGGAGCACCCACCGAATCCATTCTAATACGTAAGGTCAGTCTTAGTTGCATGTAATATCGGCTACCTTTCAAACAGGAACGGATGATTGCTTCGCGCCAGAAATAGGCGGAATAAACGATGGTGATTTAAGAAGACTTATTTCATTGCATACCTTACTATCGAGAGCGGCGGATGTTTTCCTACCTCAAACAATAAAAAACTTTTCTAATTTTTTTAATGCCACCCACCGATTCCACTACACGAGAATTATGTAAAACGATTTTATTATTAGTAAGTGTGTATATCAGTCCACACGGGTGGGTACCACTGCCCTGCTCGTTTTTTCCGCGGCTTATCCAATAAAATTGAGATTACGTCCTCAACTCTCAAGGTGACTTTTATCTTGTGACATTTATGGGATCCGGTGTCCACTTAACAACCGGTGGAAACAGAAAATGGAAAGACGTTGCTTAAGTTACTATTTGAAAAATCCAGAGCGTCTACGTCGTCCCGTGGCATTTCTCTCGGAAGGACCTCAGGTGACCACCGCCGGCTCCAACGCGGACACTGAGAGAGTTCTTGGAGCTGTGTCGTTAGCGTTTGCCGCACTCGCCGCGCTTGCTGTCACAGCCCTATTACTTGTCCTCGTCGCGAAACGAAGGTGAATTTACAACATTATACTGAAATGTCATCAACAAATCAAATCAACTACACATATGTCAGAGACTTTTTGGCGGGAACGCGAGGAGCGAAGTTATGCAAATTGTTTTATTTTAGCTATTTAGTGTTTCTTCAGGTTTAAATAAAGGTGGTTTATTAATTGTTTAGTATCTGTGAAAGTGCACAAATGTGGGATAATGAAACAAAGTTGATGGACGTAGCTTCTCGGTATCCTCCAAAAAGTCCACTGAAAAAGTCTCAGTAAATAACCACCATTTTATTGAGATTATATTTCATCCCATATCATCTCATCTCATTTCATATCATTTCGTGCTAATTGATTATTGTTCCAAATTGATCCATTTCATTTCATTTCATTTCATATCATTTTTCATATTTTAGGCTGTTTGGTATGATACCTTTGCCTTTACAGTTGGAAAAATAAAACTACTACTCAACTATATATCAAATGTAATTTTTTCACGTGTTTATTTATTTCATTTATCTTTATTTCATCACAATATGTACTATTGTGTATATTTGTAAGTTTATATAAATATGTTGTATATCTTTTCGTTATCAATTTCACGGATTTGCATATTTAACTCTAGTTTTCTCAAAACTAATATGAACATATCTTGCTATATTTGAATGAGCATTATTAACAGTATGCGCATTATTATGTACATACACATGTACATATGTATGTGTGTACAAATGAAGTATAATCTTACTCTTACTCAAATTAATTAAGCTGAAGTTGACTATTAAACAACGCTTGCTCACATTTTGAAGTGTCTATAGCCTAAAAGATTAATGCTGTCTAAGGAGCAGTACACCGTGAGAAATCATATAGAGTGATGAGACTATGCCTCCCTTCAAATACGAACTCAATACGTGTTCACTTTGCAAGATGAAGGAATAAAACACTATGTTAAAATGAAAGTAGGAAAATACATAAAATTTTCGTGTTTATTGGTTAACTCTGGGTTCACGATACACACGTGGATACCGTGTCTTTTTATTGCCCTTGTAGGCAGACGAGCATACGGCCCACCTGATGGTAAGTGGTTACCGTCGCCCATGGACATCAGTAATGCCAGGGGCAGAGCCAATCCGCTGCATACCGAAACGTCACGTAGGTCTGGTTTTCGTGAATATAAGGTCATAAGACTAGTAGTCTAGAAGACTAGCTGTAGGCTACGTCCTATGACCTTACATTCTAAGGTGTGTAGTGGCATGTACGCTCTTATATCTATATATATATATATAAGCGGCTATTTAGCACCAGCTGGGTCGTAAGCTTGTCTACTCATTGATTGGAGTAAAAACTTAAGTTTTTAATTTTTTTTTATTGCTTAGATGAGTGGACAAGCTCACGGCCCACCTGTTGTTAAGTGGTTAATGGAGCCCATAGACATTTACCATATAAATGCGCCACCCACCCTGAGATATAAGTTCTAAGGTCTCAAGTATAGTAGAGTGTCGAGAAATTCAAATAAAAATACATGATAGTATCACTATGTCTAAATTTCTGTTCATACACTGAAGGTTGTGTTACGTGGTTTTATTAAAGAGAAAAAATATAGTATCACAAAATAACAAATTAAGATAAACGGCTCCGTATTGCGGACGAGAAGCCTACGTAAATCACCCCCGGCGACCTATATACGCCCCAATTGTCTGAATGCCTGAATTTTGTATTGATGTTGTTACATCTGTCGATTTTTCGATGCTGAAAATGTTTTCTCATGAATGTTCTTGCGGCGTTTGAATGGTTTATTGTTTGTTCTTGAAATATTATCACATGTCTGAATCATTGAACATGCAATTATTGAGAATAATGCCTGTATCTTGGACTAATATATTTATTTTGTATATATGTTTGAACAAAATGGTTTTGTTTTGTTTGTTCTACTTGAACAAATATCAAACTTTAAATCTCATTCAAAAAAACTTAAAATTACGAAATTCCTTTTCTTCGTCTGCATTGTACGCGGTACTTAAAAACTTAATAATTACACAGCTATGAATACTATTTCCTCTCGACGAAATCAAATATTGCATTGCCTTTTGAGTTGAATTTCACAAAAGATAACGCAAACATCGGAATTAATTATTATCTCCACATATTTTATTAGGTAACTCTATTTCTAATCTGTTGGCGGGCAAGTTGATACCCTCTGCGATTACATAACAAATGCCCACATATTACAGCTACAAAAGTCAAACATAGGAAAGGAGGCAGGCATAGTTTTGAATTTCAGTTTCAAGCGTCTTTTTTTTATTGCTTAGATGTGTGGACGAGCTCCCAGCCTACCTGGTGTTAAGTGGTTACTGGAGCCCATAGACATCTACAACGTAAATGCGCCACCCACCTTGTGATATAAGTTTTAAGGTCTCAAGTATAGTTACAACGGCTAGCCTGTCCTTCAAACCGAAACGCATTACTACTTCACGGCAGAAATAGGCGACTTCGAACTCAATGCCAGATGTTGCGACGTAAAAAAAGTCATTTAAAATTATATCAATTACTTAAATGAGTCGTCTGTGTCCATTTAGCATGTTGTGGCCTTGCGCTGGTCAAACCGAGGAAGAAGTCCGACGCTGCAACCACTCAGTAGGCAGCACCGACAAATCGGTCTGCCCAGAACAGCAAAACATACGGAATTGTCAGCACGATTACAAACACGACAAACTATCGCCAGCGTCTGGTAAGTGCTGTTCGTAGGTTAAGTATCTTAAAACGTTGACTGTCATGTGGGTCATCGATGCCCTACGCGGCCTACTGAAGTAATTATGTCGATTTCTGTCTTCGATCTTCTTATTATTATTATTATTTTCCTGTACGAAGTTTTTCCTCTCGAATTTTTATGAATTTCCGTAAACACTGAAAAACCACGGGCCTATGCCAAGTGGAGTTCATTTTCAGTTTTAATTTCGCCTGATGTTTCGTCCTGCAAAAACTTCCGAACAATCCGGCACAATTATTTTTTTTAGATGGGTGGTCTTAAGTGGTTACTGGAACCCATAGACATCTACAACGTAACGGCAGCGCGCAGCTTGAGATATAAGTTCTAAGGTCTCAGTATAGTTACAGAGGCTGCACCACCCTTCAAACCGAAACGCATTACTGCTTCACGGCAGAAATAGGCGGGGCGGTGGTACCTACCCGTGCCGACTCACAATTCATATCATTCTATATACATATATTGAGAGAACCACAAGTCTTTTGTCCATGTGTTGACTTGACCGACCTAAGTACGTATATATTATTTGGTATGCACATAGACGTATACGAGATAAGTCCGTATGCGACGTTTGCTGTGGGTGGCGAGGCCGCGACCGCGACCCTGGACCACACGTTGCAGTTCCGCACGTTCGGGCATCGCGACAACGATGCTCCCCCCCACAGACCGTGCAGAAAGCATCCTCAAAGACATCGAGATAGACCTGAAGGTAATAAAGGAGAATAACCAAAAGTCGTCTAGTAAAGTTGCATGTTGCAGAATCAAAATAACATCGAAATAGTTTTTTTCTCCTACCTACGCCGAAAGTTCGGTTTTCCTCCCGCTATACAGGGAAAAAAATGTAACTTTTTCTCCCTGGGTACAAGTGCGCATGCGCGTTAGTGTCTACTCTTACGTCTGCTCTCACGCACCTAAAATTCTCCGCCATTGTTGTGCTCGGGTAATTTGCAATATTGTGTTTAGTGTAAAAGTGAAATAAACAAAAGGCTATAAAATTCATCAGACAGTTCTTATTCAGTTAGTAGTAGTTTATTTAAAAATTAAAAAAAAAACAGTTATATTGTTTTTTATGGGTGAGAGTTTACATACGGGAGGAAATGTCCTACTTTTCTCACTTGGTGCACAATGTACTATCTCATTTTTTACAGTCAATTTCACTACAGAAATGCTTTGTACAGGACCGGAATTATGATTTTAAGATTAATAGTAAATTAACAATTGTTACGCATTTTTTCCGTATTATAGTCATGACATGGCGTTTCGTTCTCTCCATTTAGACAGGTTAAATATGCGTGACATTAAACTTATACTTGTATAATGTAAGTCTCACTATTTTTTATTTGTTACCTATGCTGATAGCCTTGAGAGGCTATATCAGCGTTACCCTGCAGAATACAAAACCGTTTTCTTTTTCCCTGTACAGTTGAGAAGCATCATTCAGATTGCGAATTGCAACAGTTGAGTCGATACGAGAAAGTTAGACCGCGGCACTGCGCTGGTACATCTTACTGTGTACCACTTTCCCATCACGGTAAGACATTACAATGGTGGTTATCAAGGGCTTAAAGAACCAAACTAAACCAAGTACAATTTTTTTTTGAGGTCGTAGTTAATCTATTAAAACTTAATGAACAAAAGTATTTTTTGAGCCTAAGTGTACTTTTATTCAGCATACAGATATTATTGCGGTCGGTTATTAAACTGATATGTTATTTATATTTCGGTCTCCGAAGCGTGGGTTTCTTGCTGCGTAATACTCTGACTTGAAATATTATGTCGGAAGGGCAAATCAAGTTTGTGAATTTCATTTTTAATTCAAGAAGAGTGGGAAGTGAAAATGATTGAAATGTGTATGATTGAAATTAATTTTATAAACATGTTTATTTTATTTTAATATTCATTCTTTTTGTATTCCGTGACCAGTTAAATTATTTTTACCAATTTTAATTATTATTACGAAGTCAATAAAATTATGCTATATTTAATTGTTATAACAGGTTTTCAATGATGACTACGACCTTCCATAATCTATTCAGATTAGGGGGTATAATATAATGTTAGAATTGTACTCAGGTGGGGGCAGCGGCGGTGGTGGTGGCAGCGGTGGTGGGTTTTCGGAAGTGTACGCGGGTGATTCCAGCGTGGAGTCGGGGCCGGGGTCACTCTCACCTCGCACGCACCTCGAGCACAGCTAGCGCCACCCTCACAGCCAAGCGATACCACGAACTATACGTTCAAATTAAAAACTCCGTTGACATCTCTGACATAATCGTGACAACTCTGGATATCAAACACGAAATAAACCTATCAAGAACTGATTTTAATCATCACATAAACATTTTATAGCCTAACCGAATATGAACGTGAAACTATTGAGTAATTTGGTCGTGCAATTTTTTTTTTTTTAATATTTGTGTAATATCCGATTCTTTAATGCAATTATTGAAATTGAATAACAATTATGGTAGATTTTTACGTCAAATTCTATGATGCAACAGATTTGTCAAATAGTTTTTCATGCTAATTGCATTTATATATTGCATTTTCTGATGTAACATTGCTTGTAACAAGTTGCATCTTTCATAGTTCACTAGAACATTTCGAATTTGTGACTCAACTCAACCGTTTCGGAAAATTTCAGATATCGTTTTATTTTTAAAATTTTGCTACATATATAAGGTGGCTCTTTTTTTACTTATGTACTTCGAAATATGTATTATTTTGTACATGTTTTCGATCCGATATCTACAACATACAAACTACTGACAATAATTTTAGCTGCGAGGTTTATTTTCGCTATTAAAAACAAAAATTGCTTGAAAAAAAGCAACATTTCTTTCAGATCAGTTTCAGTGACCACTTCAAACTGGAACGCTTCGCTGCATAAAATAGTAAGGCTTTGTACTTAAGCGTGTGAGATCACAATAAGCCCGATCACCAGTAAAAATGGAACTCAATTCGTGGCTAAAATATTAAAGATCGTCGTGTCTACCTTTGCGGGATCAGAATACGTTCGACCACAACTAAGACCAAGTTGATTAAGTCGACCACAATAACTTGACGCTTTAACTTATCAATGTCATCAGCGGTGAGGAGTTACGTTAATAAATCGTCTTTGGAGCAAGCCATCGAACTATATTTAAAAAGTAGATATTTTTTTAAACTTAATGTATCTGGAAATCGTTCCATTTACGACAATTACTCTTCAATTTACGACTGTAATTTGAAATTGTGCCAAATTTTAAAACCACTGCCACATGTATGCCGAAATTATAGACAGTTTCGGTTTGTGTTCTTCTTGTTCGAGATCGTGAAAAATAAATAAAATTTCATAAATACAGAATATGTTTCAATATTTTTAACAATTACGTACTAGTCTGGTTTTAGTTTTAAAATTTCCTTTAAGTAGGTTTTTATCTTTATCTGTTTCCGTATATTACAATAGTTTCTTTTATATTTTGCAATATATCCAAGAAACAGTAATATCTTTAGCTAAATTATGATAAATTATTAGGTTTAAAACAATACGTACATAATTGATAAAACTTATTCACGTACGTTACGTTTTGGGTTTACAAAACACAAATGTAATAAATCATAGCATCTATTATTATATTTAGTACTAGCGACCTGTCCTCGCTTCGCTTCGGAAGCATTAAAGCTTTTTATTGATAGTTGAGTCCCGCGATGTTACCCGTGGTTATTGTCCTACCGCAGGTGACGCCGCGGGGCAGAGCTACTCTAAAAAAAGTAGCCTAAGTTACTCCTTATATCATCAGCTATCATCATCAGTCTCGTCAAAATCGGTCCAGCTGTTCCAGAGGTTCCACACAGACAGACGGACACAAATTGTAATATAATTTTTTTTGGTGTATGTACCGTACATATATATATATGTATTCATATTCACGTAGTAAAAAGCGGTTATTTCAATATTATAAACAGACACTCCAATTTTATTTATATGTATAGATACTAATTAATTAAAAAATTGCTAATACTTACAATAATCTTTAATAAATCGCTCTTTTTTCTATTATAATATACTAACAAGGCCTAATTTAGTTCGTAATTTTTTACAGCTAGCATAATCATAAGTCTCGAAATATTTCACATCCGTATAATTGTGAATTAGTTCTTATTCAGTGTTGTATAAAAGGGTGTTAAAAATATGTATAAATAGCTCACGTTACTATTGGAAGACTTCAAATTAATGAACTCTAGAATTAAAATTAGGTTTTAAGTTTTATCTTTGCATTTCAGTCAAATTATAGGTGAACTCGTTTTGAATGAAATCGGGGCACTTAAAAGCGAAAAATAACAAGTGACAAGAAAAACAAACATTACTCCACGGAACTTTTGTCGAGAATTAAGATTTTAGGTTAACAGAACGTGGTCAGTTCATAATGTATGATTGAAAAACCGTTTTTGGGTTTGGCAACATTACCAAAAAGTGAGTACGTTTCGATCTCCGTAAATTATGAAAATATAACTATTAAGACAATTTAAATTTTTATTTCATAATATAGAATAATTTTCATATCGAAAAATATGTTAAAATATTGATTGCCAAATCATAAAAGAAATGGTTTCAACTTTTCAACCAACCGTTTTTTTGACACTATCCCTCCCTACATTATTTAAATCATTTAACCTTCAAGAAATTACCAAGCGGCATTCTTTTTCAAATAAACGTTCATTAGGTGTAGTTGTTTGTAGCTAGATCTATAGGGTAAATTGCGTGCGTCCGTCGGTTTAAGGGAATGATTGTTACCGAAAAAAGGTAGGGAGCTCACTGAATAAGCCCTAATGAGAATCTTCGGGATTCGCATCTTTTAATTCAATTTAAAGTAGGTACTCATTAGTTAAACAAGACGTTTAATTAGAGATTAGTCTGTATATTCCTCAATTTTAAATCGCATTCCGCTACAGACACATAAAATATTAGAAGCGATTCTATCGAATAATAGTGGAAATACACTATTTATTTCATTTGGCTTATTTATAGTAACGTACTATATGTATATTCTGAATTAAATAGTATTATAGCATTTAATTAAATTATATTTCTAGACTTAACTAGAATGAATATCTGTGTCGGATGACTATAATATTTTAAAAATTGAGAAAAGAAATTTGTGACTCTAGACAAGTAACAAATCACAATATATTGGGTTTCTCAAATAGGCCCCGGATTTCAAAGTTAAACAAACATTTGTTACAAAGTTTTTTCGTTTCTTATTTCTCTTGCTACTAATGGGCGGACGCACGGTACTAATTAGTTTCTGTAAATAGTAAATTTTAGTCAGACTGATATTAAAGTCTCTATTGATTCGGAGCTTATAAGTGTAAATACGAAACATTTTCTAGATATCTACGAACTCTAGTCAATTTCATTAAATGTTCTACGACAATATAATTGTGTGTTTTGTATATAATTTGATTATGCCTATGACGATATATGTATGTTTGGTGTAAAATAAATTTATTTATGAGAATACCGTCGTTTTAATTATCAATTGAAACATGATGCAAGGGATTAATTAATGATTTTAACAAAGTCGAATGAAGGAATAAAGATAAATATAGCTGGAGATGAAATCAATATCGTTAAAACCTCATGAAATTGTTCTGTTTGTGTACATTTTGTAATGATTAAGTTCATTCAACACATATATTTTTATTTTATTGTCTTAGTAGGCAGACGAGCATACGGCCTACCTGATGGTGAGTGGTTACCGTCGCCCATGGACTTCAGCAATGCCAGAGGCAGAGCCAAGCTGCTGCCTACCGTTCATATCCAAAGACCTCTCATTGATTCTTCTTCTCGATCGTGTCACTCTTGACAGAGTGGTCGTGATCGTCATGTAGGAAGGGACAGCCATCTTGCATTCATTAGCCGCGAGAAGAGTGGTGTCGTCGGCGTATCGGAGGTTGGTCAATTTTACCCCACCAATGGTAACTCCCCCATCCCAGCCTTCACAAGTCCGTCTAATGATACACTCCATATTATACATAGCAAACAAATTCAAAACGTCAATTATAAATTCAGAAATTTTAATATAGTATTATCGGAATATCTTCAACCAATTGGAAGTAAATATTTAATCAAGCGATATTATGAACGAATAAATCGGATTTTCCACTCTTCATTGAAGCAGGCTCATGATACCTGGAGCCACTTACGTCGAGTGACTTTCGAAAAATAATTGCTTCCCAAAGGATGCACGTACATATGGCTATAAATTTCATATTGAGGCTTAACCACGACCCCGCCTAATACTTTTTTTCAATACAGATGCGTTGATATTTTAAGATAATTAATTCCCAATGTATATGACTATAATACATGCATATTAAGTAAATATTTGTCTACAATTTATATTTACACAATTTAAACAAATCGATAATATTAAATGGAATTTGTCTGTGTCAGGTAAATGTATATATAAAGGTAAAAGTTCTTGGAATGTGAATTACTGTATCAGCCGGCCCCTATATTGTAACAAAAAGCTTTGCTTCGTGTTTCAATATCGAAAATTCGGATGAGATTCCAATATCAGGCGTTTCTGGAATGTAGACTCCGGGGCGAAATTTTGAAAGAGGGTGGGTCACTGTTATTGAAACAGCAAGCGTATCTATTTTTAATTTCATGCAACCTGAGAAATTATTTTAATGTATTTTTAATATAGTACGTCATCATAAGAAATAACAGTCCATCCTAAGCGCTGCAAAAAAACACGCCACTTTACCAGCTGATAATGAATGGATACTGGGACGCATAGACATAGACATTGACATTGCAAGGTGAATTAAACACAAGATCGAGCATTAATTACATTAGACAAATGATATCCTCGGCTTCAAGCTGGAACACGCGACTATTTCACGGCAGAAATAGATAGGAAACTTGATACAAAGAAATATACTAACATTTGCGGGCTTAATACAAGGATTACAGATAAATCTGAAAATTAAAATACATATACTATTATTTAAAATATGTTTATTGAACTTAAGTAGACAAGACAAATCGCATTATAGAAACAGTTCGATCCAATACAGTGTAGGACAAAATAATGTCATGTCTTAATTCCAATAATAATAATTAATAATTAAAGGTATTAATTAGTGAGAGCTTTGTTTGTGAACTTTAATCTGTTTAACAAAAAGCCTTTTTTTTCAAAATATTTTCGCATC